GAAAATATAAAAATGAGAGAAATGATATATGATAGCATTTGTTTGCCACCTCTGAGAAAATGACTAATAGATTGGGTTAGCAATGAATTTTTGATTTCTGAAGAAACATTAAAGTTAGATGAACTACTGGTTTATTAGTTTCTGGAAGAATAATTCCTCCTCTTGGTTAATGTAACAAAAAGGCAAGACACTGTCACTGTGGAGACAGAGAGACATGAACAACCATCAAGGTTCAGAGTGACATTATAAAAAGGAGTTTCACCTTTAGGTCATGGGTTGAATTTTAAATAGAGGAGTTGCCACACGCCTTTTGGAAGTTGTTTGATGTCCTGGGTCAGCATGATCTCAAATTCAGCTCAGTTCCTAACAGACAAGTGTTCCCATCACAAGCACTGCAGCAACAGATAACCTCCCTGACGAGCCCAGCAGAAAGCAGCATCCTTGAACCAGCACTCCTGGAAATAGTGCATTGCAACAGCCTTCCCTCTGCAAAAATAGGGAGCACCCGATTTGGTCTCCCCTAACACCTAAAGCTGAACTAATGTCCACTGGATACCATAACACAAATATTATCACTTCATTCCCTCTTCTCAGTTTCATAGAAACATAGACTCACAGAATACCAGGCTGGAAGGGACCTCAAGGATCATTTGGTCTAACCTTCCTTAGCAAAACCATGCTTTAGACAAGATGGCCCAGCACCCTGGCCAGATGAATCTTAAAAGTGTCCAATGTTGGGGAATCCACCACTTCCCTGGGGAAATTATTCCAATGGCTGATTCTTCTCATTGTGAAAATTTTTCCTCTTGTGTTCAGTCAGAATCTCCCCAGGAGTAACTTGTACCATTACCCCTTGTCTTTTCCATGTGACTTTGCAAAAAGGGAGTCTCCATCTTCTTTGTAGCCACCCTTTAAATACTGGAACATGGTGATAAGGTCTCCCCTAAGCCTTCTTTTCTCAAGGCTGAACAAACCCAGTTCTCTCAGGCTGTCCTCATATGGCAGGCTTCCCAGTCCTTTGATCATCTTTGTGGCCCTTCTCTGGGCCCTCCCCAGCCTGTCCTCATCTTTTTTGCATAGCGAGGACCAAAACTGAACACTATTCCAGGTGCAGCCTGACAAGCGCTGAGTAGAGTGGGATAATGACTCCTTTATCTCTGCTGGTGATGCCCTTGTTGATGCAACCCAGTGTCTTGTTGGCTTGCTTTGCCGCCGCAGCACACTGTTCACTCATATCGAGCTTGTTGTCCACCCAGACCCCCAGGTCCCTTTCCACAGAGCTGCTCCCCAGCTGGCTAGATCCCAGCCTGTGCTGCACTCCTGGGTTATGTTTTCCCAGGTGCAAGATGTTATACTTGTCCTTGTTGAACTTCATAAGGTCCTTGTTAGGCCCACTCTTCCAGACTATGCAGATCTTCCTGCAGGGTGGCTCTCCCTTCCAAAGTGTCCACTTCCCCACTCAGTTTGGTATCATTGGCAAAATTCACTAGGGTACACCTAATCCCATCATCCAGATCTCTTATGAAGATATTAAACAGCGTTGGGCCCAATATCAAACCCTGGGGGACCTCACTTGTGACAAGTTGCCAGTTTGAAAAGGAGGTTCTGAAGGTTTGCAGGAAAGGCTGACTCAGCTCTGGTGCTATTACCTTAGGAACTGGTCTAAATCATGTTTGAAGCATCTTTGTGATAATCAGATGCTTGCTTTTTCAACAAAAATACTTGAGTGCTGGTCTAGCAGGGTTTGCTTAATGTTTTTTTAACCCTTTCAGACACTTGAAGAAGCCTGTTGTGAAAAAGCATACAAAGAAACCAAACAAATAAACTCAACCAACCTGTCTCCCCACCTATATTTGCAAATTCTGGCCAAACTTGATTAGGACTTAGTGTTGGAAAGGAACAGCTTTGTGTGCCACAGTTAGATGTATCCCTAATTAAAAACAAATATGCAATTCAACGCTTAAAAAGAAAGCTGAGGAATATAATTGCATAATTAATAAAGGAGCAGCCTTAGGACCAATGGTTACCTCAAACTGTAAAACCACAGCATAAAATACAACACCACAAAACCCCCATTTAATTTGATTTATGCTTCACGAAAAAGCAAAGCAAAACAAATGTTACACAAATATTTGCAGTAGCCGAAAACTGGCTATCACTAGAAAAACATAGCTACAGACATCCCTCATTGCTGGGCTGAACTGTTCTCAAAATAATCCAATGTAAAGGCCACTGACAGAAATATTTCTAATACTCCACAGTCACAAAGCATTAAACTGCTGTCTTTGGTGCAGATCACCTTGCTTGTGCTTTAGAGGTATTAGTTAGGCTTCAGTCTACAGTTTGCAAAGCACTCTGAACTCTCCTGGCCTCTCTCATCCTAAAATATCAGAATAGTCACTGCTGTTTTCTTGCAAATATGTTTAAGTAACATTACAAATAACATATCATTGCATGCCCATTAAAAATAAACATGCTGGAAATAGCAGAGATTAAGGAGACAGTGTCACTTTGACTGTCTCAGGAGCAGCTATGAACAGCTCTGAAAAACACACATACTGTTGCCCTTTGCAGATCTTTCAGACCAAAAGGAGCAGGAGGAGCAGAATTTTAATAGCATCTAAAAACGTGAATCACAGAATCTATTTAATACCAAAAAGGAGAAAAATTCTAGAGAAATTATGTCAGAAACCATTCTTATTGTTCAAGAAGTACACCATTTTTGCTCTCGCTGTTGCAGAAACAAAACCACAAAGTGTATTTTCAAGAAAATATTTAAATAAAATTGATGAAGTGTCAACATTTGACTGCTTGTTTAAATTGGACAAAATTATAAAAGCTGTTACAGTGTGTTCAATTTGTTCCAATGTTATTATATACCATAAGGGCTCACTTGAGCAGTGAGAATACTGCAGTCAAGGCGTGAAGATTACAAGATGTCTTAGACTTCTCCCTGGTACAGTATGAAATACAATCTTAAGCAGCCGAAATTCTTTTAGTGGATCTAATTCCTTCCCACCGGGGCTCAGTGGGGAAAAAAAGAATCACTGTTCCTTTATGCTGCAAGAACACTTTGTGATTTGCTTAATGGGAAGTTAAATGAATCAAAGCTTCAGACAGAAAAAAGATCCACCATCAATTAATGTGCCAAATTTTTAATAGGAAAGCAAATCAGATTTATTTAAAAACTGAGGTCTCGGTTCTGGTATATTTATATATACCAAGGTTGAGCTTATAGTTTATGATATTTTTCATAGTTTATGCTTTCTGAGGAATATGGATGACCATGGAAGAGGGCTCTCATTTCTGCCCTGCTCCTGCTGAGTGTACTTTACACATGTAGCCCGGGTGACTAATCAAGAGGACCATGGCAAGCTGCAGCTGTTTATGCTCCAGGTGCACCTCAGCTGATGAAAAGTTGTGTACAAGAGCTCAATACACACCGTCATCACAAGCACCACTCACATTACCAACTGAAAACAAGGCGTTTGAATGCTAAATTCTTCTTTCTCCTTTCATAATCTGTCACCCTCAGACAGGAAGGGGACCACAATGGTAGTCCCCGATGACTAACTGTAATGTCCCCAACACCTTACCTAGGAAATCATTCCGATACACCTGCATTTTCTAAACACAGGCTGTATGGTGAGTTCTCATACTCCAACCACAGCACAGACATGTCGGCCTGAAATTCTGGAGCAGACAGACTTACAGGCTGTGGAGGACAACGCATGGCTACAGCCTCTCAGCAGCACTTACACTCTCTCAACTCGGCTCAGCACATGGTCCTAATGCTCATGTAAGGTGCAGAGGCATCTTTGACAGGCTTGCAGAACCCAGTGTCACAGCTGTATGGCATTGCACCAAACAAACTTGCACGTCACCTGGAAAGCAGCACACCAGCTGAAGATGAATCTGTAGCCGTTCAACAATATCCCTCATCCATACTTCTTGCCCAGCATAGATATTTTGCTTTGCAAATTAGATATCCATACATTTTTGGAGGCAGTCAACTTTACGGTATCTTTGTACACCCCAGGTGAATGAGAAGCAAAGGGTTCTGACCACAAATAAGAAGCATATACTCCATGACCCACCGTGTCTTACACAAAAGCAGGTGAAAAACAAGACAGTTAATCAAATATTAAGAGTTTCTAAGCATATAGTAGCTATTAGTAAAACTAGCATGAGAAATGCACCCACCTACTTCAGTCATAACACATCGGAGAAAAAGAACCTTAAAATTTTAAAACTGATCATATTTTTTTAAGTATCAGTGCTATGAAACCTTTTTTCTTTCTACTCTTGTTCAAGTATGGAAACTACTATGGAAATTCACTGAGGCTTCACCAGGCTGGCCTCTAGTCTGGACTCTTGTCCTCTGCAAGCCCCTGTGCTAGCGTGGGGTCTCCTGTACAGGGGGGCTGCCAGCAATGGATCTCTCTCACAGCTTGCAAGCCTCTGCCAATAAGCTGCTCGTCACTGGGAGCCAGATACAATACTCCAAACAAACCCCTAAACCAGTTCAAACTTCGTAGAATTTTACCCCTTTAGCACATCTTAATGACCCATAACCTTTTAAATGTCACATCTCAAAAAAATTGTTTCTTCAGCATATAAAACAGGGAGAAAAAGCCCTGTATTTCAAAGCCAAAATAATAATAATAAAAAAATTACTTGTTCTGCATTGGAGAATTCCCCTCTGCCTTAGTTTACTATTTATAAACCACCAGTCTGAGATTAATTATTATAAATCCTTAAAGCCGAAAAGAAGATTTTAGGCATGGTATGCTACGTATAATCTATACCATTATTAAACTGCAGCTCAAATGCACTTTATGTCCTATTTCTGTTGGTCACCTTTTAACATTTCCATATTTTACCTACGCTAAATTTTGCTCCTCAAGAGAAAGCGTTTCTTACTATTTTCAAAACACCAGACCACCCATTCGATGTGCCACTGCACAGGAGGAGCAGTGTCACCTGTAAAGCACCCTCACCTGGCACCCCGTTTCTCATCCAGTAATCGATGTCTGTTCCATCTGCATCGTCGTAAACATCTGTAACATTGATGGGCTGCAGCAGAGTCAGGATCTCTTTCATGATGTCCCGAGCTTTAGCATTGCCAGTAAAACCCAGTCCAGATGGTTTGAAGGTGCCTTCATCAGACTCCATGACGATATCGAAGTTGGAGATATTTTCCTAAACATGTAAGGAAAGAAGATTGTTTTGTGATTGCTAGTTTAACTGGCACCATGTACTGGATTTTAGACGTCAATGTGAGCATACCATAACAAATTTGTTTAAGAAGCAGAGAAATGCTTCCTGTGATCGTGTGTATATAAGCATAAATGAAGGGACCTAATCTTTCTGTATGAAAATGCTGAAACAGTTCAAGTTCAGTTCTGAGGCACCAGTATTCTGTAGGAGCCACAACATGACTGGCCTGCTGTCCCCAAACACTTGCTTTAAGACTTCTGAAGTGCCACCTAGAAAGATAAGCCATTACCACCATATTTCAGTTTTCACATGCAGCTCTCACTTTATTCTCAGACCTGAAACTCAGAAAGTCTGTTGCAGGGGAAAGGGTATGCAGTCTGATTGGCCTTAAAAATTAGATGCATTCAAAGCTTGCTTAGGCTGTGCAGGACATCCCATTGAAAAAAACAGCTGCTGCCTCTTCAGAAACACATTATTTTCGATACACCACGTAGTCAATTCTGACTTCGGTTGGAGGACTGAAATGCCAAGGTTCCTCCTGACCTGAAGGAATAATGTCTGTTTTAAGGGCAGTTCACGCTTCCAAGGTAAGTTCTTACAGGAAACATCAATTTTAAGACTTTGTGTACAAGTGGCATAATAACATTAGCTTTTAGTGTGCACTTGGAAGATTCTCTTTAGCTAAAAGAACAAAAATTAGCATCCAGAGCCATTTATTTGCTTCCCATACACTCAGAATGCTCAGTCACAAAGGTTTAATTGGAATAAAATACTTAGGGAATTTACATGAAGGTCTCACTCTTCTCAAGAAGCACCCAACTGTTTTTGCAAAATAAAACAGTTTGTGGCCAGGTCAGGCAGAAGAAAGCTATACTTCAGATTGTCTTGAATGTGACTGAAAGAACTTACTGCAGGTTTTACTCCTATGCCCAGATCTCATTCCAGAATTTCATAGCTTTCATGGGTTATTACAAGAAAATCATTGCAAGAGATATGTGATAGTGGTGAGTAACAGATCCATGTCATTAACAGCTTACATAAGCCTACAATTCAGTAAAGAATTCTTTCAGATTTTTCTGGATATAAAACCAAATATAAACTACAGGTCGCTGTGAATGTGATATTCATTGAAGTTTTCAGAATTTCTTTATATAATTTGCCAAGAACTGTGTTTTGCACTCTACTTTCCCCAAACTTTTATCTTTTTGAGCGGAACAAGTTCTAACATAAAAGAGGTATTCACTTCTAACTTAGAAATACATTCAGCAGTTAAAAAATTTAACACAAAAACTGTGCATATGATGAAGTAACTGTAAATGTTGTAATACTTTAAAATAACCAAACTACCTATCGACCCATGCAACTACTTGAAATCAAGGTGGAAATAACCAATCTTGTCACCAAATTGGCAATCGTTATTTTTATGTGATGAAAAAAATCTTCAGTTTATAAAAGATTAAATGTAAAGAATGTGGTGTCTAGGTCTATCATCAAATGCAGTTACAGGTCATGAGCCTCAACATGAAATCGTTATTCATGGACCCTCTGAATGTAGTGGGAGAGAAGCTGGCCAAGAAAAGCACACTGCATGGTAAAAGGGTCCAATGATGCTTCAAAGTCACAGGTACAACAGAAATAATGTCTCAAAATGTAAATCTTCTTTATACCACAAGCCCAAGGAGCAAGGCTTAGGGAAGACAATACACATTTCAGTGCTCTGATGAATTCCCAACGAAAGCTAACTTAACTATAGTGAGCCCAGCATAAATACCATGATAGAAAGCATTCAGAAATGGCTTCTGTGGCTGAGTCTTCAAAGCAGGACTTCTGCTCATTTTTAGAGATGCTGCAATGAGCAGGAGCAATAAGGCAAATGGAAGGGACTATTCAGGGCAGTGAGGTGAGAAGATACCGAGAAGAAATCTCGCCTACCACTCCAAAGAAAAGAATTCCTAAGTTTGAAAACTTCATGAACTGCTAATATAGCAGCATTACTGCAGTCTTCAGTTGTGTTTTCTCATATAAATGTTTGCATGTGTTTTTAATATGAAACTGAGAAAACAAACCACCCACAATACATTACACCATATTCTTGCTCTGTAAGAAAGCTGTTCAGTTCTGAGAACATGCGGGAGTGGCACGAAAACAGGACACCCTGGGGAGAGAAACCAGACTCATTGGGGGACAAAAAAGAAACAGGTCACAACTACTTGAAGTACCATGTGTCCCTGAGAAAGCTTTTTCCCTATTTTGTCCACTAGAAGATAGGATTAATTATAAAACTATTCACTGTCAAGTTTGAAAGTTGCAATCTTAAAAAAAAAGGGGGTTGCGTTGATTTCACCATAGCCATTTTTGTACACGTGTATTGACATTTCTACTTACACAGAAAGAAACACGTGCTGGAGAACATGCTATAGGGAAGATGCTCTGTTGTCCTTTGTCCTCTGTGGTGCAGGAATAACTGCAGTTAGCAAAGCGAGGCGAGACCGTACATTGCTCCCTTGACTAATTCAAGGGAACAGCACAACAAACCAGTAAGATTTTGTAAAATAACTGCAGGCTCAGCTGTTTCCTTCTTTTTTCCCCATTCTGAATGTATTTTAAATAAACATTTTAAACTCAGTACACAATTTTTTCAGAAAGTAATCCCATTTGCTGCATCTTGATACTGTGCCACTTCTCTTAGCACATACCAGAAAATTGTATCTTGTGGGTGTAACTTGCTGCCTAATTCTCTGAACATCAAAACAGACTTTTATCCTTTATCTTCCTATGACTCGGTCAGAGAAGAGGTCTCTTCTCTTTATCTTATAATGTTTAGCTCTTTCTTTGACTGAATTTTTAAATGAAACATTACAATAAATACTGCATGGGAAAATTGGTTTTCTATAGCTTGCTATTTTCATTGAATATGCAGATAGGCAGGATCCTTGCCAATACTTCCATTTTTTTTGTTTTAATTCTTTTTATTTCTGTTTTGTCTATAAACAATCTATTTTTATCTCCATTAAGCAAAACTAAAAATATAAGTGTTTCTCATCTCTAAGGCAAACACTTGAAAACATGAAATTACAGTAAATCTTTTCAATTAAGAAAACAAAACCTTGTCATATGCATGACTTGTACTTGTATCAGTAGGAAACATGTCCCATCTAGAGCAGACACTGGCAATCCCAAGCATACAGGTACCTACTTATTCAGTCAAAATCCCAACTGTTAATTCTTACCAAATGTTAAACTAGACTCCAACATCTCATGACTAATCTACCAAGTCACTGATGGCAATTCCTCTTACCCAGCTAAAGTAATGAGATACCTGAAAGGATAAGGGAGGAAACAGCTGTCCTAAAAGCCTTCAGTAATTTGGGGCTACTTAAAATAGCTATTACTTGTCCAATAGCTCATTTACTGGTTTTCTTTTTCATTCCACTGAGAAAAATCACCACTTTACAGGGAAAATACTAAAGTCTGTAGTGGCAAAGCACTGTCCTTGACTAATGGTTAATTTGTTCCAGTAATAGGGGACATCAGTTAATCCGACAATGTATTTTCAGCCTTCTGTTATTGATTTACACTTAACTTTAGGAAACACCAACACTTGTATTCTTGTATTCCAGTATTTGACTCAGAGCAGTTGGGATCCAAGTATAGCACAGCAACAGCCGTGCTGCAGAACTCACGGTGAAATGATGGTCATCCCACTTGCAGTACTTGCAGTAAAAAGTGTGTTTAAATCAACACCCAGCTTTGTTAGCCTGGCAACTAAGACTACAGGAAAGACAAGAGAAAACATCGGAAACGCCTAAGTGGATGTGACAGCTGGAAAAGGAAAAAATAAAATAAATAACATCCTCTAAGCATTTAATAATATATAAACATGGAGTAGTGTAAATTTGAGTTGCTGTTCAGGAACAAGATTATTTAATGAAGCAAAACAGCATAAATGGAAACTAGAGAAAAAACTCCAGAACAGCTGTTAGGAAGCAGAGATGCACCAGCATCAAGGCATAATAACCACCAGCCGCAAGCGTGACCACACTGCTCACACTCTTTTTGAATGAAGACAGGGAAAATCAGGAACACTGTGAGTTATAATTTTTTTAAAATTACCCCATCATTATATGGGAGAAAGCTGCTGTAAAGCTGAAGATCAGCGCAATTTTTGATAGATGACAAGGTATGAATAAAGGCTTATACTTTTGTTAAAAGATTAAATATTTTTCTTCCACATTTTGTGGGAAAGCAGTCCGTAAAACAGTCCACAGATTTTATGGCTTGTTCTCTATCAGAGTTACAGAGTTCTGACCTCTGAGAAGCCAATAACAAAAGTCCCAGTAACATCAACAGCCCTGGAGCAGGATTTGGTCATGTACCTATTAGCATTTCACTCAGTAAAAACATACTACTAGCATGTCTTACCTTGTACAATACCACTACTATTTCCTCTGCAGCCACTTGCCAGCACTCACAGAGATGACCATTCAGTATTGTAAGTTCTCCGGGATGATAGACAAGAAAGAGCAGACAACTCTGAAGACAGCAGCAGGCTATGTAAGGTATGCATCAGATTACCTGCAGCCTTGTCTTGGAAGGTTTTTTCTCTGACAAAGAGACATATCAAAGAAAAATGCTCTTCCTGGAAAATGTTCCATAGCTTAGACCCTTTTACTGCTCAAATACAAGAGTATCAAAACACTGCCTTATGACTCTGTCCCACTGCTGTCCCTTTTTGAAAGGTTTTAGGTTTTTGTTTGAAAATAGGCAACACTGCCAAAATCACAAAGTGTGGTTTACATCTTTCAACGAAAGGCAACTTTTAACTCCTTTTAATAAGCAAGTGGGTACTTTTGTAACTTTCAATAACAGACCGATAACAATAAATTGGCAATACCTCAGCAATTATCACAGCACACACGTCATTAGTATTTCCTCATTTTATGCAGAATGCTTTTAGGTTCTTATCTGGGTAAGAGGTGCAA